TGTTGGTGTTTGGGTCTTCCTCTATCTTCTAATGACTATAGTTCTACTTCTACTGACTAGTTCTACTGGTGTTTGGGTCTTCCTCTATCTTCTAATGAATCTAGTTCTACTGACTGTTGGTGTTTGGGTCTTCCTCTATCTTCTAATGACCCCTAGTTCTACTGACTGTTGGTGTTTGGGTCTTCCTCTATCTTCCAATGAATCTAGTTCTACTGACTGTTGGTGTTTGGGTCTTCCTCTATCTTCCTTAATGACTGTTGGTGTTGGGTCTCTAGTTCTACTGACTGTTGGTGTTGGGTCTTCCTCTATCTTCTAATGACCCTAGTTCTACTGACTGTTGGTGTTTGGGTCTTCCTCTATCTTCCAATGAATCTAGTTCTACTGACTGTTGGTGTTTGGGTCTTCCTCTATCTTCTAATGAATCTAGTTCTACTGACTGTTGGTGTTTGGGTCTTCCTCTATCTTCTAATGACCCTAGTTCTACTGACTGTTGGTGTTTGGGTCTTCCTCTATCTTCCAATGAATCTAGTTCTAGTTCTACTGACTGTTGGTGTTTGGGTCTTCCTCTATCTTCTAATGAATCTAGTTCTACTGACTGTTGGTGTTTGGGTCTTCCTCTTCCGATGATCTTTCTAATGACTGTTGGTGTTTGGGTCTTCCTCTATTCTACTAGACTGTTGGTGTTTGGGTCTTCCTCTATCTTCTAATGACCTAGTTCTACTGACTGTTGGTGTTTGGGTCTTCCTCTATCTTCCAATGAATCTAGTTCTACTGACTGTTGGTGTTTGGGTCTTCCTCTCTTCTAATGAATCTAGTTCTACTGACTGTTGGTGTTTGGGTCTTCCTCTATCTTCCAATGAATTAGTTCTACTGACTGTTGGTGTTTGGGTCTTCTATCTTCTAATGAATCTAGTTCTTGACTGTTGTTTTGGGTCTTCCTCTATCTTCTAATGACCTTAGTTCTACTGACTGTTGGTGTTTGGGGTCTTCCTCTATCTTCCAATGAATCTAGTTCTACTGACTGTTGGTGTTTGGGTCTTCCTCTATCTTCTAATGAATCTAGTTCTACTGACTGTTGGTGTTTGGGTCTTCCTCTATCTTCTAATGACCTTAGTTCTACTGACTGTTGGTTGTTTGGGTCTTCCTCTATCTTCCAATGAATCTAGTTCTACTGACTGTTGGTGTTTGGGTCTTCCTCTATCTTCTTCCTTAGTTCTACTGACCTTGGTTTTGGGTCTTCCTCTATCTTCAATGAATCTAGTTCTACTGGTGTTTGTTTGGGTCTTCCTCTATCTTCTAATGACCTTAGTTCTACTGACAGTTGGTGTTTTGGGTCTTCCTCTATCTTCAATGAATCTAGTTCTACTGACTGTTGGTGTTTGGGTCTTCCTCTATCTTCTAATGAATCTAGTTCTACTGACTGTTGGTGTTTGGGTCTTCCTCTATCTTCAATGAATCTAGTTCTACTGACTGTTGGTGTTTGGGTCTTCCTCTATCTTCTAATGAATCTAGTTCTACTGACTGTTGGTGTTTGGGTCTTCCTCTATCTTCTAATGAATCTGAATCTAGTTCTACTGACTGTTGGTGTTTGGGTCTTCCTCTATCTTCCAATGACCTTAGTTCTACTGACTGTTGGTGTTGGGTCTTCCTCTGTCTTCCAATGAATCTAGTTCTACTGACTGTTGGTGTTTGGGTCTTCCTCTATCTTCTGAATTCTAGATCTTCCTCTATCTTCAATGTTCTACTGACTGTTGGTGTTTGGGTCTTCCTCTATCTTCTAATGACCCTAGTTCTACTGACTGTTGGTGTTTGGGTCTTCCTCTATCTTCCAATGAATCTAGTTCTACTGACTGTTGGTGTTTGGGTCTTCCTCTATCTTCTAATGAATCTAGTTCTACTGACTGTTGGTGTTTGGGTCTTCCTCTATCTTCTAATGACCTTAGTTCTACTGACTGTTGGTGTTTGGGTCTTCCTCTATCTTCCAATGAATCTAGTTCTACTGACTGTTGGTGTTTGGGTCTTCCTCTATCTTCTAATGACCCTAGTTCTACTGACTGTTGGTGTTTGGGTCTTCCTCTATCTTCCAATGAATCTAGTTCTACTGACTGTTGGTGTTTGGGTCTTCCTCTATCTTCTAATGGTGTTTTGGGTCTTCCTCTAGTTCTACTGACTGTTGGTGTTTGGGTCTTCCTCTATCTTCTAATGAATCTAGTTCTACTGACTGTTGGTGTTTGGGTCTTCCTCTATCTTCCAATGAATCTGGTTCTACTGACTGTTGGTGTTTGGGTCTTCCTCTATCTTCAATGAATCTAGTTCTACTGACTGTTGGTGTTTGGGTCTTCCTCTATCTTCTAATGAATCTGAGTTCTACTGACTGTTGGTGTTTGGGTCTTCCTCTATCTTCCAATGAATCTAGTTCTACTGACTGTTGGTGTTTGGGTCTTCCTCTATCTTCCAATGAATCTAGTTCTACTGACTGTTGGTGTTGGGTCTTCCTCTATCTTCTAATGACCTTAGTTCTACTGACTGTTGGTGTTTGGGTCTTCCTCTATCTTCCAATGAATCTGGTTCTACTGACTGTTGGTGTTTGGGTCTTCCTCTATCTTCTAATGACCTTGGTTCTACTGACTGTTGGTGTTTGGGTCTTCCTCTATCTTCCAATGAATCTGGTTCTACTGACTGTTGGTGTTTGGGTCTTTCCTCTATCTTCCAATGGATCTTAGTTCTACTGACTGTTGGTGTTTGGGTCTTCCTCTATCTTCTAATGACCTTAGTTCTACTGACTGTTGGTGTTTGGGTCTTCCTCTATCTTCTAATGATCTAGTTCTACTGACTGTTTGTGTTTGGGTCTTCCTCTGTCTTCAATGAATTAGTTCTACTGACTGTTGGTGTTTGGGTCTTCCTCTATCTTCCAATAATCTAGTTCTACTGACTGTTGGTGTTTGGGTCTTCCTCTATCTTCTAATGACTTAGTTCTGCTGTTGGTGTTTGGGTCTTCTACTTCTAATGTTGGTGTTTGGGTCTTCCTCTATCTTCCAATGAATCTAGTTCTACTGACTGTTGGTGTTTGGGTCTTCCTCTATCTTCTAATGACCTTAGTTCTACTGACTGTTGGTGTTTGGGTCTTCCTCTGTCTTCCAATGAATCTAGTTCTACTGACTGTTGGTGTTTGGGTCTTCCTCTATCTTCCAATGAATCTAGTTCTACGGACTGTTGGTGTTTGGGTCTTCCTCTATCTTCTAATGAATCTAGTTCTACTGACTGTTGGTGTTTGGGTCTTCTTCTATCTTCCAATGGTGTTGGGTCTTCCCTCTGTCTTCTAATCTAGTTCTACTGACTGTTGGTGTTTGGGTCTTCCTCTATCTTCTAATGACCTTGGTTCTACTGACTGTTGGTGTTTGGGTCTTCCTCTATCTTCCAATGAATCTAGTTCTACTGACTGTTGGTGTTTGGGTCTTCCTCTGTCTTCCAATGAATCTAGTTCTACTGACTGTTGGTGTTTGGGTCTTCCTCTATCTTCCAATGAATCTAGTTCTACTGACTGTTGGTGTTTGGGTCTTCCTCTATCTTCCAATGAATCTAGTTCTATCTTCTAATGACTGTTGGTTGTTTGGGTCTTCCTCTGTCTTCAATGACCTAGTTCTACTATCTGTTGGTGTTGGGTCTTCCCTCTGTCTTCCAATGAATCTAGTTCTACTGACTGTTGGTGTTTGGGTCTTCCTCTGTCTTCTAATGACCTTGGTTCTACTGACTGTTGGTGTTTGGGTCTTCCTCTATCTTCCAATGAATCTAGTTCTACTGACTGTTGGTTGTTTGGGTCTTCCTCTGTCTTCCAATGAATCTAGTTCTACTGACTGTTGGTGTTTGGGTCTTCCTCTATCTTCTAATGACCTTAGTTCTACTGACTGTTGGTGTTTGGGTCTTCCTCTGTCTTCCAATGAATCTAGTTCTACTGACTGTTGGTGTTTGGGTCTTCCTCTATCTTCCCAATAATCTAGTTCTACTGACTGTTGGTGTTTGGGTCTTCCTCTGTCTTCCAATGTAGTTCTACTGACTGTTGGTGTTTGGGTCTTCCTCTATCTTCCAATGAATCTAGTTCTACTGACTGTTGGTGTTTTTGGGTCTTCCTCTATCTTCCAATGAATCTAGTTCTACTGACTGTTGGTGTTTGGGTCTTCCTCTATCTTCTAATGAATCTAGTTCTACTGACTGTTTGGTGTTTTGGGTCTTCCTCTATCTTCTAATGACCTTTCTACTGACTGTTGGTGTTTGGGTCTTCCTCTATCTTCCAATGAATCTGGTTCTACTGACTGTTGGTGTTTGGGTCTTCCTCTATCTTCCTAATGACCTTATCTTCTACTGACTGTTGGTGTTTGGGTCTTCCTCTATCTTCCAATGAATCTAGTTCTACTGACTGTTGGTGTTTGGGTCTTCCTCTGTCTTCCAATGACCTTAGTTCTACTGACTGTTGGTGTTTGGGTCTTCCTCTATCTTCCAATGAATCTAGTTCTACTGACTGTTGGTGTTGGGTCTTCCTCCTGTTGGATGTTTGGGTCTTCCTCTATCTTCCAATGACCTTCCAGCTACTGACTGTTGGTGTTTGGGTCTTCCTCTATCTTCCAATGAATCTAGTTCTACTGACTGTTGGTGTTTGGGTCTTCCTCTATCTTCAATGAATCTAGTTCTACTGACTGTTGGTGTTTGGTCTTTCCTCTATCTTCCAATGAATCTAGTCTTCTACTGACTGTTGGTGTTTGGGTCTTCCTCTATCTTCCAATGAATCTAGTTCTACTGACTGTTGGTGTTTGGGTCTTCCTCTATCTTCTAATGACCTTAGTTCTACTGACTGTTGGTGTTTGGGTCTTCCTCTATCTTCCAATGAATCTAGTTCTACTGACTGTTGGTGTTTGGGTCTTCCTCTTCTTCCAATGAATTGTAGTTCTACTGACTGTTGGTGTTTGGGTCTTCCTCTATCTTCCAATGAATCTAGTTCTACTGACTGTTGGTGTTTTGGGTCTTCCTCTGTCTTCTAATGAATCTTTCTTCTGACAGTTGGTGTTTGGGTCTTCCTCTATCTTCATGACCCTAGTTGGGTGTTTGGGTCTTCCTCTATCTTCTAATGAATCTAGTTCTACTGACTGTTGGTGTTTGGGTCTTCCTCTGTCTTCTAATGAATCTAGTTCTACTGACTGTTGGTGTTTGGGTCTTCCTCTATCTTCTACTGACTGTTGGTATTTGGGTCTTCTCTGTCTTCTAATGACCCTAGTTCTACTGACTGTTGGTGTTGGGTCTTCCTCTATCTTCTAATGACCTTGGTTCTGCTGACTGTTGGTGTTTGGGTCTTCCTCTGTCTTCCAATGAATCTAGTTCTACTGACTGTTGGTGTTTGGGTCTTCCTCTATCTTCCAATGAATCTAGTTCTACTGACTGTTGGTGTTTGGGTCTTCCTCTATCTTCCAATGAATTAGTTCTACTGACTGTTGGTGTTTGGGTCTTCCTCTATCTTCTAATGACCCTAGTTCTACTGACTGTTGGTGTTTGGTCTTCCTCTATCTTCTAATGACCTTAGTTCTACTGACAGTTGGTGTTTGGGTCTTCCTCTATCTTCCAATGAATCTAGTTCTACTGACTGTTGGTGTTTGGGTCTTCCTCTATCTTCTAATGACCTTAGTTCTACTGCTGTTGGTGTTTGGTCTTCCTCTGTCTTCTAATGAATCTAGTTCTACTGACTGTTGGTGTTTGGGTCTTCCCTCTATCTTCTGAATTGTTTGGGTCTTCCTCTACCTGGTTCTACTGACTGTTGGTGTTTGGGTCTTCCTCTATCTTCCAATGAATCTAGTTCTACTGACTGTTGGTGTTTGGGTCTTCCTCTATCTTCTAATGAATCTATTCTACTGACTGTTGGTGTTTGGGTCTTCCTCTGTCTTCTAATGACCTAGTTCTACTGACTGTTGGTGTTTGGGTCTTCCTCTATCTTCCAATGAATCTAGTTCTACTGACTGTTGGTGTTTGGGTCTTCCTCTATCTTCTAATGACCTTAGTTCTACTGACTGTTGGTGTTTGGTCTTCCTCTATCTTCCAATGAATCTAGTTCTACTGACTGTTGGTGTTTGGGTCTTCCTCTATCTTCTAATGAATCTAGTTCTACTGACTGTTGGTGTTTGGGTCTTCCTCTATCTTCTAATGACCTAGTTCTACTGACTGTTGGTGTTTGGGTCTTCCTCTATCTTCAATGAATCTAGTTCTACTGACTGTTGGTGTTTGGGTCTTCCTCTATCTTCTAATGAATCTAGTTCTACTGACTGTTGGTGTTTGGGTCTTCCTCTATCTTCTAATGAATCTAGTTCTACTGACTGTTGGTGTTTGGGTCTTCCTCTGTCTTCCAATGAATCTAGTTCTACTGACTGTTGGTGTTGGGTCTTCCCTCTATCTTCTAATAGTTTCTACTGACTGTTGGTGTTTGGGTCTTCCTCTATCTTCAATGAATCTAGTTCTACTGACTGTTGGTGTTTGGGTCTTCCTCTATCTTCTAATGAATCTAGTTCTACTGACTGTTGGTGTTTGGTCTTCCTCTATCTTCCTAATGAATCTAGTTCTGCTGACTGTTGGTGTTTGGGTCTTCCTCTATCTTCTAATGAATCTAGTTCTACTGACTGTTGGTGTTTGGGTCTTCCTCTATCTTCTAATGTCTAGTTCTACTGACTGTTGGTGTTTGGGTCTTCTCTATCTTCTAATGAATCTGTTCTACTGACTGTTGGTGTTTGGGTCTTCCTCTATCTTCTAATGACCTTAGTTCTACTGACTGTTGGTGTTTGGGTCTTCCTCTATCTTCAATGACCTTAGTTTCTAATGACTGTTGGTGTTTGGGTCTTCCTCTATCTTCCAATAATCTAGTTCTACTGACTGTTGGTGTTTGGTCTTCCTCTCTTCAATGACTTGGTTCTACTGACTGTTGGTGTTTGGGTCTTCCTCTATCTTCTGATCTAGTTCTACTGACTGTTGGTGTTTGGGTCTTCCTCTATCTTCTAATGAATCTAGTTCTACTGACTGTTGGTGTTTGGGTCTTCCTCTATCTTCCAATGAATCTAGTTCTACTGACTGTTGGTGTTTTGGGTCTTCCTCTGTCTTCTAATGACCTTAGTTCTACTGACTGTTGGTGTTTTGGGTCTTCCTCTATCTTCTAATGATCTTGGTTCTACTGACTGTTGGTGTTTGGGTCTTCCTCTATCTTCCAATGAATCTATCTACTGACTGTTGGTGTTTGGGTCTTCCTCTATCTTCCAATGACCTTAGTTCTACTGACTGTTGTTTGGGGTCTTCCTCTATCTTCCAATGAATCTAGTTCTACTGACTGTTGGTGTTTGGGTCTTCCTCTATCTTCCAATGATCTAGTTCTACTGACTGTTGGTGTTTGGGTCTTCCTCTATCTTCCAATAGATCTAGTTCTACTGACTGTTGGTGTTTGGGTCTTCCTCTATCTTCTAATGAATCTAGTTCTACTGACTGTTGGTGTTTGGGTCTTCCTCTATCTTCTATTGACCTTAGTTCTACAGTTTGGTGTTTGGGTCTTCCTCTATCTTCCAATGAATCTAGTTCTACTGACTGTTGGTGTTTGGGTCTTCCTCTATCTTCCAATGAATCTAGTTCTACTGTTGGTGTTTGGGTCTTCCTCTGTCTTCTAATTCTAGTTCTACTGACTGTTGGTGTTTGGGTCTTCCTCTGTCTTCTAGCCCTAGTTCTACTGACAGTTGGTGTTTGGGTCTTCCTCTATCTTCCAATGAATCTAGTTCTACTGACTGTTGGTGTTTTGGGTCTTCCTCTATCTTCTAATAAATCTAGTTCTACTGACTGTTGGTGTTTGGGTCTTCCTCTATCTTCTAATGAATCTAGTTCTACTGACTGTTGGTGTTTGGGTCTTCCTCTATCTTCCTAATGAATCTAGTTCTACTGACTGTTGGTGTTTTGGGTCTTCCTCTATCTTCCAATGAATCTAGTTCTACTGACTGTTGGTGTTTGGGTCTTCCTCTATCTTCTAATGACCTTAGTTCTACTGACTGTTGGTGTTTGGGTCTTCCTCTATCTTCCAATGAATCTAGTTCTACTGACAGTTGGTGTTTGGGTCTTCCTTCAATGAATCTAGTTCTACTGACTGTTGTGTTTGGGTCTTCCTCTATCTTCCAGTATCCTAGTTCTACTGACTGTTGGTGTTTTGGTCCTCTGTCTTCTAATGAATCTAGTTCTACTGACTGTTGGTGTTTGGGTCTTCCTCTATCTTCTAATGACCCTAGTTCTACTGACTGTTGGTGTTTGGGTCTTCCTCTATCTTCCAATGAATCTAGTTCTACTGACTGTTGGTGTTTGGGTCTTCCTCTATCTTCCAATGAATCTAGTTCTACTGACTGTTGGTGTTTGGGTCTTCCTCTGTCTTCTAATGAATCTAGTTCTACTGACTGTTGGTGTTTGGGTCTTCCTCTATCTTCTAATGACCCTAGTTCTCTACTTGACTGTTGGTGTTTGGGTCTTCCTCTATCTTCCAATGGATCTAGTTCTACTGACTGTTGGTGTTTGGGTCTTCCTCTATCTTCCAATGAATCTTCTAATCTAGTTCTACTGACTGTTGGTGTTTGGGTCTTCCTCTATCTTCTAATGACCTTAGTTCTACTGACTGTTGGTGTTTGGGTCTTCCTCTGTCTTCTAATGAATCTATAGTTCTACTGACTGTTTTGGTGTTTGGTCTTCTCTATCTTCTAATGACCTTAGTTCTACTGACTGTTGGTGTTTGGTCTTCCTCTATCTTCTAATGAATCTAGTTCTACTGACTGTTGGTGTTTGGGTCTTCCTCTGTCTTCAATGAATCTAGTTCTACTGACTGTTGGTGTTTGGGTCTTCCTCTATCTTCTAGCGACCTTAGTTCTACTGACTGTTGGTGTTTGGGTCTTCCTCTGTCTTCCAATGAATCTAGTTCTACTGACTGTTGGTGTTTGGGTCTTCCTCTATCTTCTAATGACCTTAGTTCTACTGACTGTTGGTGTTTGGGTCTTCCTCTATCTTCCAATGAATCTAGTTCTACTGACTGTTGGTGTTTGGGTCTTCCTCTATCTTCTAATACCTTAGTTCTACTGACAGTTGGTGTTTGGGTCTTCCTCTATCTTCTAATGACCTAGTTCTACTGACTGTTGGTGTTTGGGTCTTCCTCTGTCTTCCAATGAATCTAGTTCTACTGACTGTTGGTGTTTGGGTCTTCCTCTGTCTTCCAATGAATCTTAGTTCTACTGACTGTTGGTGTTTGGGTCTTCCTCTATCTTCCAATGAATCTAGTTCTACTGACTGTTGGTGTTTGGGTCTTCCTCTATCTTCCAATGAATCTAGTTCTACTGACTGTTGGTGTTTGGGTCTTCCTCTATCTTCTAATGACCTTAGTTCTACTGACTGTTGGTGTTTTGGGTCTTCCTCTATCTTCCAATGAATCTAGTTCTACTGACTGTTGGTGTTTGGGTCTTCTCTATCTTCTAATGGCCTTGGTTCTACTGACTGTTGGTGTTTGGGTCTTCCTCTATCTTCCAATGAATCTAGTTCTACTGACTGTTGGTGTTTGGGTCTTCCTCTGTCTTCCAATAGTCTAGTTCTACTGACTGTTGGTGTTTGGGTCTTCCTCTATCTTCTAATGACCTTAGTGAATCCTTATCTTCAATAGTTCTACTGACTGTTGGTGTTTGGGTCTTCTCTATCTTCTAATGACCTTAGTTCTACTGACTGTTGGTGTTGGGTCTTCCTCTATCTTCAATGAATCTAGTTCTACTGACTGTTGGTGTTTGGGTCTTCCTCTATCTTCCAATGAATCTAGTTCTACTGACTGTTGGTGTTTGGGTCTTCCTCTATCTTCTAATGAATCTTAGTTCTACTGACAGTTGGTGTTTGGGTCTTCCTCTATCTTCCAATGAATCTAGTTCTACTGACTGTTGGTGTTTGGGTCTTCCTCTATCTTCTGAATTGGTGGTTCTTCCTAGTTCTACTGACAGTTGGTGTTTTGGGTCTTCCTATCTTCCAATCTTCTAATGAATCTTGGTGTTTGGGTCTTCCT